CCGGGCGAAGTTCCATCGCGGGATACAGACCGAGCAAGCCGTCCACATGCTCGGAAGGAGAACTGCAGGTGGAGTTCTTCGGGTCCCCGTTCGCGATCCACCCCGCGGGCGCGGGGGACCCGAGCACGAGCGCGAGGACCTCGACGGTCTTCCCGAGGCCCATCTCTTCGCACAGGAACCCGCCCTTCGCCATCGCGGGGACGCGGTTGCGGGGTAAGACCACGCGCGCGGCGGGGGAGAACCACGCGCCGTTCAGCGACGGAATCCTCGTCCACAGCACGTCGCGCAGCCCCCCCGGCGCAGCCTCGAGCTCGCGCATGCGGTGCAGCGACTGGAGCTGGTACGGCCGCAGCTCCACGGTCAACCCGGGCGGCTGCGTGTCCGGGTCGATCTCGCTCATCTCGAGGTGCCGCATGAAGTCCGGGATCGAGCGGATTTTCGAATCCGCGCTCGCGGCTTCCGCGCGCGCCAGCCGCTCCTGCCGCCGCGCCATGTCGTCGTTCCACAGCATCGCGACGAGGGACTCGTACATGACCGCCCCGGACGCCCCGTCGGGCGACACGCCGCCGTACCGCGAGTACGACGAGCTCCGCTCGTTGCAGAACATGGTCGACAGATCACAGGCGTTTTGGCTGGACGACACGAAACTCCGGCACGAAAACGCGCGGTGGTCCTCCGGCGTCGGTTCCGCCTCCGGGTCCTTGACGTAGATCTTCACCTCGAGCGTCGCGGACGACCCGGCGCGTCGGTCGTCGTCGGACTTCACCGCGAGCGTGAGGCGCGCGAGCGGCTGCGTCAGGCGCCACTTCTTCGCCGCGGCGCCCCCCGGGCCGTACCGGACGCCCCCCGAGTTGGTTTCCTCGTACATCGTCTGCTGCGCTCTCTTCAGCTCCGTGAGAATCTTCTCGCTCCGAAGCTCCGCGAGCTGCTCCGCGTGCTGCGCTTTGTACAGCGCCGCGAGGTTCTTCGTGTCCTCCGCCGCGCTGGGGTCGGTCACCGCCCCGCCGGGTATGATCCCGTTCACGCGCGAGAACGCGGACTTCGCCGCCTCGGACAGCGCGCCAAAGTCAAACGCCGCGGTGACGGCGTGCGTGGTAAACCCGCTGTCGACGAACGCGCTGTTACCGTACGTGTACCCCCCGGACTTTCGCGACCTGGGCCACTTCGCGTACGAGTCCTCGTGCGGCTTCCCTTCCTTGATGTCCAACAGCGTCTCGCAGTCGACGTTTTGGAACGGCGAGTTGTAATCAAAGCACGCGTGCATCAGCACCGGGTCGGGGAGGTCGCCATCGTCGCGCGTTTCCGCGGCGGCGGATTCGAACCCGCCGCCGCCGGAGGAGGACTTTCTCTTCGTCCCCGCTTTGGGCTTCCCGCCGCCGCTCGCGCTCCCGCTCGGCGGCGACGTCACGAGCGCGACGCCGTCGCCGCCCGAGACGACGCACCCGCGCGACAGGATCTTCTTCACGAGTTTCGAGATCGCGCTCGCAGCCTTGTCGCCGCCGACTTTCGGAAGCGCGGCGAGGGCGGCGGCTTCGAGGGCGGCGGCGATGTCGTCGCGGTAATACCCCCGTCCGCGAGGTTCATGATGCTTGTACGTGTATCCGGGTTTTGCTCCAGCATACTGGTGCGAGGCGAGGAACTCCGGTGGCGCCATCTTGGCGGTAGCCTTCCGCGGCGCCGCGGGGGCACTCGCGAACAAGTCCGCGTAGTAGGGGACGATGAGCGGCACCGAGCACGCCCTGAGCGCGGTGTAGACCGTCTCTTTCGCGATCACGAGGTTCGCCGCTTTCTCCTCGTTCTCGGAGTGCTCCCTCAAGCCGAACACCCTGTCGAAGTCGTCGTCCTCGCCGTGGTCGCTCTCGTAAAACTCATCCTCGGACTCGCTGTAGTACGCCATGCCGGCGCGTTCGAAAATCTTCCTTCGCTGCGCGCTCATGTCATCCTTGCGCTTCTGCGCCTTCTCCTTGATCTTCTTCTTCGCGTCCACCTTTCGCTTTTTGGCCTCCTGCGCGTCCTTCTTCACCTTGTCGAAGTCGTCGTGCACCGCAGGGTACACGATCACGACTTCGTCGCTCGCGTCCGCGGGCAGCCTGTACGCCACGAGCGCGTCCATAATCTTGCCGCGCTTCGGGTCGTGGAACCTTTTCGCGATGCAGCTCCGCGACGTCGAGAGCGATGACGAGAGCGACTCCGCGCTGTTCGGGTAGATGTCGTCGTCGGGGTACTCGCGCAGGAACCCGCGGACGTAGTGCACGGGCGTGTTCTCGAACCTCTCCCGCCGGGCGGCGTCGCGAAACGCCGCGCCGTCGGCGGGCGCCGCGTCCGTGCGAGTTCGCCGCGCGCTCGCGTCGCCGTCTTTCGCGTACGACGTGTACATCGCGACCACCTTCGAGCTGCCGTTGCGCACACGTCCGTCGCCGCGCTCGAGGCGCGTGGTATCGTCCGGTTTGCGCGCCTCCGGGGACAAGTACTCGCACGCGGCGAGGATCACCTTCTCCGCGTCTGAGACGCCGCACTTTTTTCGAATCGCGTCGACGACGTCCGCTGCGACGTCGCGCGCGCGTCTCACGTCGATCGCGACGTCCACGGGCGCGCGTTCGCCGCTGCAGTCGATCACGATCACCCTGAGCGGCACCATCTCGCGCGCGGGCGGCTCCCCCGGCCTGAACATGTGCCCCAACGTCGCGACCTTCTTGTCCGACGTCTTCGTGAACAAGTTGTACAGGTTCAGCGGCTTGTTCTTCGCCTGCGACGTCCGCTCCTCGTCGAACGTGTTCATGGTGTACCTGTCCCTGAACCGAATCCCGTGGCGGTACATCGCGAGCTTATCGTCCACGTCGCGCGCGGTCTTCCCGTTCGCGAGCACCATCGGGATGTTCAGCGTCCCGAGGAGCTTCAGAGAAGGCAGCGTGGACGGGTCCGGCATCGGCTGCGTCTCCGGCGGGCGCTGCGTGAGGTACGCCGTCGCCGCCGACGCGCGCTCCTCCGCGGCGTCCAGCAGCAGCGCCGCGGCTCGCGCCTCCGCGGCGTCCAGCAGAGGTTCCCTCCAGAGGGGCCGCGGCGCGGGGGGGAAGCCGGGCCGCGGCGCGGGCGCGCCGGGTCCGGCGCCGGCGCCGGCGGTCGCTCCCGCGGGCGCTCTCGCGGCAGCCTGGGAGAGGGGATCGATCGCGGAAGTCGAGGGGTTGAGCGGGCGCGTTCGAGAGACGACTCCGGCGAGGGGGGAGGAGGGAGGGACGGACGGACGGACGGCGACGCGCACCAGCTGGATGCGGTGGCGCATCTGGTCCCATCGCGCGACGCCGCTCTTCGCGTCGCAGTGCGTGGCCCAGTCCGGGCACGGCGCCTTCTTGTCGCAGCAGTAGCACCTGGGGGAGAAGGGGGAGAGCGCGCGCGAGGACGTCAGTCTTGTCGCACAGCTGTGCGTTCCGAGGAGGCGCTGAAGAGAAAAAAAAACGCGATGCCGGCACCCGTGGGCTCGGACGCACCAGCAGTTCGGGCAGTGCGTCGCGTGCGTCGTCTCCGCGAACTTGAACACCGCGCACGCGTGACGAGGGTGCGGGTAATCCACGAGCGCGTCGTCGCCGACCATGCCTGCGCGCGGGAGCGAGCGCGGGGGAGAGGGGAGAGCGTTCGAACGTCAGATCTCGCGAGCGCGGGACGGGGGACACGGAGGTTTTCCACCTTGGCGGCGGGGAACGCGCGCGCGGGCGGGGACGAAACGCGGTGGGAAGCATCCGAGCGACGTCGCGGACGAGCGGATTCAAACACGGCGCCGCGCGCGCGAGAAATCGCTCGGCGCGATGACGCGTAGGGTGCTCGTCGAGGGTGCTCGTTTTTTTCTCTCACCCGTGACGATGAGATCGTCATCTTCGTCGCCCACAGGCGCGGCGTCCCTCCTCACCGCGCGGTCGACGCGGACCTCCTCGACGACGTCCTCCGCCTGTTGGACCTCGTCATCGCTCGTATCGAGCAGCTCGATCACCTCGTCCGACGTAACCATGGTGCGGACGGAGGTGAGGGGCGCGGCGGTAACCGAATATTTTTACACGTTTACCGAGGCGGGCGCCCGCCGGGCAGGTGCCGCGCGCAGCTCCCCGTCTGATGATTGGCCCGCCCGTGAAACTCCGTCCGTAGCGTCGTCGCGTCCGGCGCCGCGGAGGAGACGCCGCCGACGCGACGCGCGTCGGCGCTGTGTGCATTTTCGCATCGCGAGGGAGGCGACCGAGCCGACGCGGGGGCGGACGGGGCAAGGCGCGGCGCGCGGCGCGAGAGTTCAGCCGTCGGCGCGCGCGACTGCCGACGAGGCGCGTTCGGTTTTCTTTTAGCGAATGGCGTGTCGGTGCATCACAAGTCCCCGCGCGTGGCCACGGCGAGGCTATAACTAACTACCAACGAACCACGACCAACCAAGCCCCAACTCCAAGCGATCGACCGTCTCGATCACTTGAGCTTCTTCTTCGGCCTGAGCTGGTTCGTGTGGCCGCACTTCTTCTTGCGGCAGTTCACCGCGCGCGCGTGGAGGCGCGCGTAGCACCTGAGCGAGGGAAGGGCGAGAGAGGGAGAGGGAGTCGGACGGTGAGCACGTCGCACGAGAATTGCGAGCGCTTCCTTCGCGAGGCGTGTCGAGACCCGGAATGACCGCGCCGCGGTGAGTCGTCCGCGGGGAGGCAAAGTGAATGGATCTCGTCTCTCTCGGGTCAGTTTTTCGACTTGAAGGAACGGAGATCCAAAAAGACAAACTTTATGGCCCTTTCTTCTTCGCGAGAGACTCGACGCGGCGCGACGGGCGGGTACGGCGTGGGTACTCACTTGCGGCAGATCATCTTGTCGACGTTGTACTTGCGCGCGAGCACGAGGAGCGAGGGCTCGATGATGCCGCCGCGGAGACGGAGCACGAGGTGCAGCGTGGACTCCTTCTGGATGTTGTAATCCGCGAGCGTGCGGCCGTCCTCGAGCTGCTTGCCCGCGAAGATCAGACGCTGCTGGTCGGGGGGGATCCCCTCCTTGTCCTGGATCTTCGCCTTGACGTTGTCGATGGTGTCCGAGGACTCCACCTCCAAGGTGATGGTCTTACCCGTGACTGCGGCGTCGAAAAAGAGGGGGAGGTGGTCAGCGCGCCTTCGACGGAGCGCAGAGGGCGACGATGGACGGGCGGAGATCGCGCCGCGGGGACGATGGATGCCGCCGCGATGCGATGGGAGGGCGACGCGCGCGCGCAAAAGCGCGGCGTCTTCCTCGCCATCGCGCCCGAAGGACACCCATCAACGCGACGTTCGTCGCGTAGAGAGCGGTGAAACCCTAAAAAATACATCCGCGCGACGACGCGACGACGGCGGGATGCGACGCCGCGGACGACGCGCGCGGACGCGCGGACGTCTACGACGCGCGCGACGAAGCGATTGCGCCGGCGAACGGCCGACGCGTCGACCCCCCGCCGCCGCGACCGCCGATCGTCGTCGCCTTTTCGCCGGGCAGATTCATTTTTCCACGACCCGCGCGCGAGACGCCGACCGCGGAAAACGCGGCGTCGCGACGCGCGCGACGCGCGCGACGACGAGACGACGACGGGGCCGGGCGTGGACGTACGGGTCTTCACGAAAATCTGCATGGCGGCTGCTGCTTTCCTCGCAGGTCAGCTCCTACGCGCCGGTAGATGAGGGCGACGGGAGCGCGCGATGGCCCTGTTTTAACCCTGTTTTACAGAGCGGTCGGCGTTGGCGCGCGCGGCGCGCGTCCGGTTTTTTGATAGATTACTCGGTCGTGTCTCGTACGAAAGTACCTTCGTACTTTCGTATGATATTAAAAGCCGCGTCCGTCGCGACGCGCTCACATCCTCTCCAGCGGCTCGATCATGAGCAACCGCAGGCCGTTGTCGATCACCTGCTTGAACGCCTTGCACAGGTGCACCCTCGCGTGCGTTGCGGCGACGCCGTCCCAACCCGTCTCCAGCTGCGAGTCCGTCGGCAAGATCCGCACGCCCTGCGGGCCGTAGTACCCCGACAGCTGTCGCACCATGGTGTTCAAAAAGTCGCACACCTTGTGGCACCCGTACTGCGGCAGCTGCGGCGGCTCCGGTAGCTTCGCGTGCCCAGCCTCGCGGATCATCGACGCGAACGGGAGGACGTACTCCATGAGAATCAACCACTCCTTGTCGTCGTCGAGCTTCGACGCGTCCACCTCCGCGAGCGGCGGCAACTCCGGCAACTTCCCTTCGCTCACCTTGGCTTCAAACTTCCTCACCACGGACGCGACGCGCGTGGAGTTGTACAGGATGAACGGCGCGGACGCGTCCTCGAAGTCCGTGATCTTCGCGATGTCGAAGTTGATCTGCGTGAGGCACGACACGCTGAGCAACGCGTACTTCATCGCCGCCGTGGATACCTCGTGCGTCACCGCGTCGAACTCCTCCGCGGACATGACCTCGCCCTTGTCCTCGTACTTCTTCCGCATCTTCTCCGTGATGACGGTCTTGAGCTCGTCGTAAAGGTCGTCCGCGAGGAGGTACCGCCCTCGTCGCCCCGACATCTTCCCGGTCGTGAGCTTGACGAGGTCGTACGACAGGTGGTACTGCCGGCCCTTCATCTCCGGGTTCATCATCATCATCCCTAAGCTAACCTTTTGCTGCGCGAGCTCTTGTTCGCTGCAGATGATGTTCAGGATGAGATCGCTCCGCGACGCCTTCTTGAACGAGTACACGATGTCGCGGTACGTGTACAGCGTGGACCCGTCCGGTCGCAGGACGTACAGAGGCGGGTACTCTTTCTGGTACCCGCCCTTCCCGGTCTTCAAGCCTTGGTCCGCGATGAACGACGACATGTCCAGGTACGCGCCCTGCGGAACGCCCTTGTCGTTCTTCTGCGTCTGCGGGACGAAGTAATCGCTGTTTCGCATGATCGCCAGCACCTTATCGTTGCTTCCCTCCCACCCGAGCTCGGACTCGTAGTCGAACTGGTCGTGCTGCACGCCGTACGTCGACAACGTCGTCTGCACGCCCGTGAGGCAGTCGCACACCATCTTCCGGAAAATCTTGATCGCCCACTCCTCCTGGCGCTCGTACGCGAGGTTTAATTTGCCCGCCTCGACCTTGATGTTCTCGATCTTACGCACGTCCTCGAGCATGACGACCATCATCTTCTCGAAACGCTCGCGCAGGTCCTGGTAAATGTCAAAGTACTCCGCGATCCCCTTCGTCTTCTTCTCGTCCCCGCCCGCGCTCGCGAGCGACGCCTCCATGAGCTTCGCCACCGCGTCCTTCCCTTCCTTGCACGCGTCCTCAACCGCGCCGGGATCCACGCCCACCGTCTGCAGCTCCTGGCACGTGTTCATCACGGCGTACATGGCGCCGATCCAATGATCGATCTTCATGTAGGGTTTGATCTTGTCGTAGACGCGCGAGTACGCCAGCGCGGTCAGACCGATCTGCGCGCCGAGGTCGTTGACGTAGAAGGCTTGCTTCACGTCGTACCCGCACGCGGCCTGGAGCTTCGCGAGGTGCGCGCCGATGATGACGTTCCGCAGGTTGCCGATGTGCAGCGGCGCGTTCGGGTTGGAGGACGTGTGCTCGATGATGCATCGCTTCCCTCCCGCGGCGTTCGTGTGCCCGTACGTCTCGCCGCTCGCGGCGACCGCGTCCATGGTGAGCTTGAACACGCGCGCGCGGTCGACGAACAGGTTCAGGTACGGCCCGACGCCCTCGCATCGCGTGATGAGCCCCGCGCTCGAGGGATCCGCCGCGATCTTCGCCTGGAGACCGGTCGCGAGCTCCGCGACGTACGCCACCGGGTTCGCTTTCCTCGCCGCGCAGAACCTCGACCACTGCACCGTGAAGTCCGCCTTGCCCAGGTCCTTCGAGCGCGTCACCTCGGGCAAGTCCGTCGCGTCCGGCTCCTTGTCTCGCAGGAAGGATGCGATCTCAGCCTGGATGCGGTTCGTGAGCTCAAGGAGGACGTCCTCGCCGGGGGTGAACGGCGCGTCCGTCATGACGACGACGAGCGCTTCGCGATGCGCGGACGGAGATCGCTCGTGGATGAGCTTCTGCTCGCGCGTCGACGTCGGGCGCGAGAGCTTTCGGTCGCGAGCGCGAGATCGGCGGGCGCGCGCGATGGGGTGAGGGCCGCGATCGGAAAACGGCGGCTCGCGGCCGCGGCCGGCCGCGGCCGGCGGACGGGACGAGCGCTTTTTCTGCATCGCCGCCGCCGCGTCGGCGTCCACTCCGCCAGCGCGCGGCCGCCGCACGGCACGAATCATCGCGCCCGGGCACCATGGGGCCGAAGCAGAGTAAAAAGACGAAGAAGTTCCAGCGCAAGCACCTCGCGAATGAGATCTCGCGGAGGAAGGCGGCTAAGACGGCCGCGCAGAGGCGACGCGCGAAGGAGATGCGCCTCGCGGCGAGCACGCTCGAGGACGGCGACGCGGGCGAGGGCAGCGGGAGCGAGGACGAGGCCGACGCCGCGGCCGCCGCGGCCGCGCCGGGGCAGAAGCGCCTCGAGGACATGTCCATCGACGAGTTCTTAAACGCGGGCGCGCGCGAGGACGGCGACGGCGGCGAGGACAGCGACGAGGACGACGACGAGCGCGATGGCGGCGAGGACGGCAGCAAGGACGATTCCGAGATCGACGCGGAAGACGGCAGCGACGACGAGGAGTGGCCCGAGGGCGACGAGGACGACGACGAGGACGAGGAGGAGGACGAAGAGGAGGAGGACGAAGCCGACGCCGACGACGACGCGAACGCCCCGCTCGCGGGCGTGAAGAAGAGCAACGTTGCGCTGAAGCGCGACATCGCGCAGCACAAGAAGGATCTCGAGACGCTCAAGGAGAAGGACCCGGAGTTTTACAAGTTTCTCCAGGAAGAGGACGAGCAGCTTCTGGACTTCGACGAGTCCGACCCGGAGTCCGATTCCGACGACGAGGACGAGGACGAGGAGGAGGACGCGGAAGAGGACGACGCGTCCGAGGACGAGGACGACGAGGAGAACGAAACCAGAAGCGTCGGCGGGACGAAGAACCGAAAGGGAAATGCAAAGGGCGACGTCGCGCGCCGCCGGTCGCTCACGTCCGCGACGGTTGCGAAACTGTGCGACCGCGCGATGGACGGCGCGTCCCTCGGGGCGGCGCGAAACCTCCTGCGCGCGTACCGAGCCGCGGCGCACTACGGCGACGAGGACGCGGACGAGGAGCTCGGCGTGAAGCTCGCGTCGTCGGCGGCGTTTCACTCGCTCGTGACGTTCACGCTGGAAGAGGCGGACGCCATCTTCTACGGGCTGCTCGGGAAGACGCGCGCGGATCACCCGGACGAGGCGCGACAGTTCAAGCCGCATCAGCAGACGCGCTGGCGAAAGGTGGAGCCGCTCGTGAAGAGCTTTTTGGGGAACACGCTGCACTTGCTCGGGCAACTCACGGACGCGGACATGTCGCGGTTCCTGCTCTCGCGTCTGAACGTCGCGGTGCCGTTCTTCGCGACGTTCGAGCGCTTGACGCGCAAGACGCTGAAGGCGACGCTCGCGCTGTTCGGCAGCGGCGAGCCCGCGCTCAGGGTGCAGTCCATCTTGCTCATACGGAACATGGCCGCGGTGTTGCCGCCGCCGACGCTCGAGAAGGCGGCCAAGGGCGTGTATCGACAGTTCGCCGCGAACGCAAAGTTCGTCAATCAGGAGAGCATCGAGCACGTGCAGTTCATGACGACGTGCGTGAGCGAGATATACGGCCTGGACCAGAACCAGTCGTACGCGCTCGCGTTCACGTACGTGCGGCAGCTCGCGAGTTTACTCAGAGGCGCGCTGACGAACACGACGAAGGAGGCGTTTCGCTCGGTGTACTGCTGGCAGTACGTGAACTGCTTAGAGTGCTGGGTCAAGGTGTTGCAGTCGCACGCGGCGGACGAGAACGCGGCGCTGCGGCCGCTCGTGTACCCGGTCGCGCAGGTGGCGCTCGGCGCGGCGAGGCTGTTGCCGAGCGCTCGGTACGCGCCGCTTCGACTGCGGCTCATTCGCGCGTTGAACGGGTTATCGCGCAGCACCGGACACTTCGTCCCCGTCGCGCCTTTACTCCTCGAGCTCCTCGGGTTCAGCGAGCTGAACAAGGCGCCGGTGAGCACGAAGGCACGACCGCCGGACTTCGGTCTCGTGCTCAGGGTCGCGAAGCAGGAGCTTCGGTCGCCCGCGGTGCAGGAGCTCATCGTCGAGGGAAGCCTCGCGGCGTTGTGCGATCACCTGAACCAGTGGGCGTACTCCCCCGGTTTTCCCGAGCTCGCGCACGTCCCCTCGCGCGATCTGAAGCGATTCTGTAAGCAGACGCAGGTGCAGAGGTTCCGGAAGATGGCGCGGTCGGTCGTGGACGCCGCGGAGCGGAACAGCGACTGGATCTCGCGGAAGCGCGACAACGCGGATTTCGCGCCGAAGGACGCCGAGCGCGTGCGCACGTTTCTCTCCGCGGACCGGGAGAACAAGAGAGCGCCGATGGAGAAACTCGCGGCGCAGATGAAGGAGAAGGAACGCCAGCGCGCGGAGGCGAACCGCGTGATGGACGTGCGGTTGGGCGGGGCGAAGCCGATGGGCCGCGGCAGCGACGGGACGTCGGACAGCGACGACGACGTCGACGACGGCGGCGGCGGCGACCGCGGAGGCGAGGAAGAAGACTTCGACGACGACGGCGACGGCGGCGACGGCGACGAGGACGACGACGACGAGGAAGAGTTCAAGGGGATGGACGACGAGGACGTGCTCGCGGCGCTCGCGTCGAGAGCGGGCGCCGCGGGCGGAACCGGCGGCGGGCTGCACGTCCGGCCGAAACTGCCGCCGAGGAAGGAGAGCGGCGACGACGACGTCGTGGAGGACCTCATCTTCTCGGACGACGACGACGACGACGACGACGACGACGATGCGCGCAAGAAGAAGAAGAAGAAGAAATCGAAGAAGAACTCTAGCGAGAAGGAGGGCGGCGGAGGCGGCGGCGGCGGCGCGAAGAAGAAGCGTCGATTCTAATACCATCCGAAGCGCGAGCGCGTCCAACCGCGGTATAATTTTAAAAGTCAGCCTTCATTTTCGCCCCGCGAGCTCGGAGAGCCTCTCGAGCAGCGCGTTCGCCTCGTCCACGGTCACCTCGGGCGACAGCGTCAACCCCTCGTCCACGCACCGCCCCGCGACGGAGAACACGACCGCCGGCGGCGCGCCCTCCTCAGCGCCGCGCTCGCGTCGGAGCAACACGAGCGCCGCGGCGCCGACGACGCGTCGCCCGCTCGCGCCTGACTTTTCCCATCGCCGCCGCGTCGCGTCGCTCATCTCGTCCACGGTCAGGCACACGATCTCGTTTTTCGCGTCCTCGCCGCCGCTCGCGACGTCGACGCCCTCCGCCCTCGCCGTCAGCATGACCTGGAGGTCCGACGGCACGACCTGGCACCGTCGTTTCCGCGCGATCGCGCCCAACGCGGCGGCGCCCGCGGTGGTAAAGTCGTACGGGAAAAAGTCGTCCTCGTCCTCGCCGTGCGCGAGGACTCTCGGCGCGAGCGCGATCACGCCCGCGGCCGCGCACGAGACCGGTCCGAGATCCGCGATGTCCGGCGACGCGGATGGCGTCAGCGTGACCGTCCCGCGCTCGCCCATCCACAGACGCGCGGCGTCGCGCGCTCGCAACCCGAGTCGAGACGCGATGGCGTCCGCCTCGCCGAAAGGAAGCGGCCGCACGGGGTCGGCGACGTCCCCGCTCGCGCGCGCCGCCGCGGCGGCCGCGTGCCTCTGCGTCCGCGTGAGGCGCGCGTCCGTCACGTCGGCGTCGTCGGCGTCGTCGGCGGCGGCGCGCTTGAGCAGAGCGACGAAGAAGCCGCCGGTGTCTCCGTCCTGCGGCAAAAAACGCGCGCACCGCTCCAAGTGCAAGTCTCGGCCTCCGAGCGCCGCGTCGCTCGGCGGCCACATGCTCGGCGCGCGCGCGGGCATCCCCGCCTTCTCCGCGTCCTCGTACGTGTCGTACCATCTCAGCGCGACGTCGTCGGCATCGTCGGAATCAGAATCCGAACCGGCGCCGTCCGAGTCGGAGTCGAACCTTCCGAGCCCGTCGCCTCGCGCGCCGTCGCCGCCCGCGAACGCGTGTTCGCACACCCCCCACGTCCTCACCCCTTCCCTTCGCCGCATCTTTTGCAACCCCGCGTCGTCCATGAACCCGTCCACGATCTCGAACCGCTCCCCGCCCGGCCCGAGAAGCACGGACGCGACGACGGCCTCGTCCTCCACCGGGTTCAACGCGCAGGTGCTGTATAGAAAATACCCTCCCGGTCGCGTCAACGCCGCCGCTCTGGACGCGATCGCGAGCTGCGTCTGATGCAGCGCGTTCCCTAAGCCGGGGTGCCAGCGTCGAAGGACGTCCGGGTCTTTGCGGAGCGTGCCGTCGCCGCTGCAAGGGACGTCCGCGAGCACGGCGTCGTATCCGCGCCGCCGTCGCGACGTCGACGTCGACGCGGAAGTCGACGCGCCGCCGCCGCCGCCGCCGCCGCCGCGGCTCGACCTCGCGCGGTCCTCGAACGTCGGCGCCGGGAGATCCTGCCCCATCGCGCACGTGATCACGAGCGACTGCATCTCGAGATCCGATCGCTTATGGCGCTCGATCGCTTCCCTGAGCGTCTTGATTCGATTCGGGTGCGCGTCGTTCGCGACGACGACGCCGGGCCCGCGCGGCGACGACCGCGCGGAGTCTGGCGGCGACACGATCTCCAAGAGCTGCGTCGTCTTGTTCCCCGGCGCCGCGCATACGTCCAGGACTTTGTCCCCCGCGCGCAGGTGCGGTCTCAGCACGAGCACGGGGAGCATCGAAACCGCCTCTTGTCTCGCGAGTAACCCGGCGGTCGCGCCGCGGTCGACGACCTCCGCGACGGCGGCGGGGAGTTTCTCTCTCCGACGCCGACGATGATGACGATGATGACTGTCTTCGTCGTCGCCCGCGGCGCGCGTCGAGACCACCTGCCATCCCTCGCGATTCGGCATCCACGGCAGTGGCTTCACGAGCGCGACCTTTTGCAGCTCCTTCAGGCGTTTCTTCAGATGGTTCGCGCGCGCGTCCGTCGCGTGGAGGCGGAACGTCACGGGCAGCGGCGTCGCGAACGCCGCCGCGGTGTCGTCGAGCTCGTCGTCGTCGCGGAAGATGCCCTGCGCGCGGTAGTACTTCCGCCACAGCAGCGCGCCGTAGTCGAACTTTCGAAACAGAAGCAGCTGCGCTTTGTCGAGCTGCGCGGTCCGCAGCGCGTTCTTCGTCGTCGGCTTGACGCCGCGCCCGTCGCTCGTCCCGGCGGCGGCGTGCTTCGTGCGCTTTTTCTCGTTCCCTCCGCGCCATCGCTTCGCGGCGCGCGCGTCGTCGCCTCCGCCGGGTCGCTCGCGCGCGCCTCCGTCGCCCCTTCCGTCGCCGCCGATCGGTCGCTTCTTGTCCTTCTTCATCGCGCCGCAGCCGCCGCCGCCGCGCGCGAAGCTGTGCACGACGAACGTCGGAACGATCGCGATTTCTCGGAGAGAACCGTAGTCGATCAGTTGGACGAAGCGAAGGGAAGTGTTTTGTTCTTCGAGACGATCGCTCGTCGGGTGTTCTTACAATCACAATACTGATACACTGTCCTCCTCCTCCGCGTCGTCGCGGCGCCGCTCACGCGCTGAGCGACCGTCTCCCCTTCGCGCGTCGGCGTCGCAGCACCCTGCGCCCGCCGATCGACGTCAGCCGCGCTCGGAACCCGTGCCGGCGTTTGCGAATGAGATTCGACGGCTGGTACGTCCGCTTCGTGTGCGCCCACACGACGACGCGCTCGCGCTCGTCCGCCGGCAGCGTGTCGTCCTCGACGGCGACGGAGGCGTCATTAAATTCGGTCGGGGACGCGATCTCGATGACCGTCGCGGGCGGCTCCGTCGCCGGCGTCGCGTGATCGTTTCCGTCGACGATCGGGACGCGGTGCGCGTTCGGCCGGTCCGTCGCCCACGCCTTTTCCATGTCGCGCAAGATCCCTTCCGCGCTCCGGCGCTCGCCGCCCGGCCACGCGCGCATCGCCGCCCGCATGCGCGCCTTGGCGAGTTTCATTCGCATCGCGTCCGCGATCGCGGCGGGCGACGGCGGCGGCTTCCACGCCTCCTCGGGGCGGATCTCCAAGGACGACAACAGCTTCGCCACGGGCAGATCGAGCCGCTCGCGCAGGTCCTCGCGGCGCCGCGCGTCGCGCGTCGCGTCCGCGGAGGCGGCGGGATCGACGAACCACCGGTGCGCGCCGTCGACGTCGGCGCCGTTGTATCGCTGCTGCGAGACGGACGAGACCGTCGTCATCGAAGCGCGGCCTCTGCGAGGGTAGGGCGCGCGGGCGTGGTCAGCGGCGAAGAGACGACGAGAGAGGGAAGCACAGAACGGACACGTCGCATCAAGAAGGGGGAAAAGGCGAGAAGGGACGGACGGCGCGCGACGCGCGGCGCGATCGCGAGCGCGCACCCGCGCGGGAGGTCGTGAACGCCGCGACGCGTCGCGTTGACGACGCGTGCGAGACCGTGCGCGGCGCGCCCGAGCGCGGCCATCGTTATGGACACGGTGCGCGCGACGCGACGACGTCGTCATTCTTGAGTCGACCCGGAGCGAGCAGAACGCGGGAAGATCATCACGCGCGGACGAACTCGAACGACGAGCTGCGCTGATGAGTGCGAGGTTTTTTCTGTCGGTTGGATTTTTACGCACTGCGTCTAAGGTCCCTCGGAGGGCGATCGAATCGAATCAGTCCTTCTTCGGCGCCTTCTTGATCACCGTCCCCTCGCTCACGGCGTCGTCCGACGACCCCGCGTCGACGGTCCCGGTCCCCTCGATCTTATCCACCGGCGGCAGTTTCGCCGCCGGCGGCGGCTTCGACGCGGCGCTTTTGGCGGCGGTCTCCGACGCCTTCGACACGAGGTCGCCGAGCGCGCCGATGCCGCCCTTCAGCGCGGACCCGAGAGCCTTGCCCGCGAGGTTCGCCGCGTCGCCGCTCTTCACGCTCTCCTCGAACTCCTGTCGCGACATCCGCTTCTTCTTCCCCGGGGAAGCGCTTCCTCCCGACTGCATCGACGACACGAGATCCGCGCTGCTGGCGCCGCGCGACGGCGACGACGCCCCGGCCGGGGACGTCTTCTTCTTCTCCGCCTTCGCCTTCGCCGCCGCCGCCTCCTTTTCCTGTTGCTGCTTCTTCTTCTCTCTTTCCACCTCCCGCCTCGACGGCGCGCGCTCCGCGCGCGGGGTCGAGAAACTCGGTATCTCCACGCCCTTGTCCGTGTACGACGGCGCGGACGACGACCGCGGCTTCGGCACGCGCGCGGGCGGCGCGTAACTCGCCGCCGTCTCGCCCGTCGCGCTGAACGCGTTCAGAAACTCATCCGCGTCGAAGGCGCTGGCGGGCGTCTCCGACGACGGCAACGACGAAGGGTACGGGGACTCGTACGACGTCCCGCCGAGGCCGTAGTCCGCGGACGACGGGAACGGCGACGTCGACGCCGGCGTCGTCGCCGAGGACGACAGCCCCGGAAACGACGACGACGACGCGTCGTACCCCGACGTCGACGACGACGCGGTCGGGGCGTCCAGCGCGTACTTCGACGTGAGCTCCGCGTAGATCCTCTCGACCTCGCTCTGGTCCACGCCCTGGTACCCGCTCGTCTCGACCCTCGGCGGCGGGACGTACTCCGGGACGTACGTCGGCGGCGGCGGCGGCGTGTACGCCTGCTTAAACGCGTCGTTATACGTCTCCTGTCCTCTCGCCGCCATCTCGGTCTTCGCGTCCATCACGCGCGCGAGCGCGCGCCGCTGGTCCTCCTCGTTCATCGCGCTCTCGACCTGCCCCTCCGTGTCCGCGAGCGCGGCGGCTTCCTTCTCTTCCTCTTCCTTCTTCGCCTTCGCGATCGCCTTCTCCGCCGCGATTCTCTCCGCCTCCGCGGCGGCGGCGGCGGCGGCGGCGGCGGCGGCCGCCGCCGACGCCTTCGCCGCGTTGTTCAGCGCGTTCAGCGCGAGCGCGATGATCACCGCGACGTACGCGGGGGTGCTGTACAGCATCGCGCACGCGTACTCCACGCCGGAGAGGAACCACGACGACGCGATGCGAACGATCGTGAGCGTCACCGCGGCGAGCCCCTTGAACGGTTTCCCCGTCAGCACGACGCCCCACTGGCCCTGGTCCGCGGCGTTCTTCACGAACGCGAACCCCTCCTTCGTGGACTCGACGAACGTCGCGAGCGGCGTGGACGGCCCGGTCGCTCGCGCGGCGGTCTCCGCCGCGACGCCCTGCGCGCCTTTCAGCGCCGACGCCAGCGATCGCAACCCCGCGCCCGCGGCGTCGGCGGCGTCGGCGGCGCCCTCCGCGACGGCGTCGCCGACGTTGCTCATGCCCGCTCTGCTCCACGCGAAGACGCCTCTGAGGACGTCCTGCGTCGGCGCGAGGCTCTCCGCGGTGACCGCGCCGAAGATTGGCGTGAGGTCCGCGTACGCGAACGCCGCGGCGGCGGCGATCGCGGCGGCGACGACGAGGAGCGACGGGATCGGATTCGTATTCGATTCGCCCTCGTCGCTCGAGGGCGTCTGCTCTCCGCCGGACGCGTCCGACGTCTCCGCGGCGGCGACGCTCGCGGAGACGCGGATCGTCGACCTCCTCGCGCGGAGGCGGACGAGGCGCGTCGTCGCGGTGGGCGCGGCGGACGCGACCGACGACGCGACGACGACGGCGACGACGCGCGAGGTGGAGCTCGCGCGCCGGCGACGCGGCGCGGGGAGCGCGGGAACGCCCACCACGGCGCGCACCGCGGCGACGCGTGCGCGAGGTCGCGCGGCGACCGCGCGCATCGCGCACGCGGCGGGCGCGGGCGCGGCGGACGGCATCATGACGCCGCGCGAGTTTTACGCCTGCGACGAGAGGAAGGACGCGAGGAGCGGGAGGCGCGTGATGAGCGCGAGCGTCGGCGGAGAGATCGCGAAAGAAACCAAACGGTCTCTTGCGAATTGATCGACGCCGTCCGCGGACGCGCGATCTATCGCGACGCGCGAGCGGACGCGGGGGCGAAAACGCTCACTCAGCGCGCGATTCTTACCGTGGCGTATCGCGCGCGGGAACGATAAGCGGCGCGTGTGGCGGACCAGCCGCGCGGCACCCTCTGCGACGCGCGCGAGCGGTTCGCACGTTACCGTACGACGTCGTGGGACGACTCCTATCCTTCGAAACCAGTCACCAGCAGCAGTGCCCTTTCGTTCCTGGGAGTACGTTGTACTGTATGAGTTTCAAACCACGTCCCTGATCGAGCCAGCCGGTCAACCTGACCCGCACTTCTCCCAACTGACCGACGGCCGCGGCCGATAGCCGAGGGGAAGGGGCGAAAGTCCGGCCTTTCTCGGACACACCTCGTCGCCGAGCGCCGCTCGCCCGCGAAAGGCATCATGCCGACGGACAACATCGACTCGAAGTACTTGAAGGACACGGTCGCGGACGTCCTCGTCCGCGCGTGCTCCGAGTGCGCGGTCGCGCGCCCGAAAGATCCCGTGGACTACGTCGCGGGATGGCTCGCGCGCTACGTCGAGAACGATTCGATCCTAAAGAAGCACAACAGCGCGAAGGATCTCGAGCGGACGGCGCGCGAGGCCGAGGAAGAGGTGCGCGCGGTTTTCTCTCCATCGCGGCGGCGCGTCGCGGCGCGCGATCGCGCGCGCTGTCCGACGCCCCGCGTCCCCGCGCGCTCGCGCGCGCCTCGCCGATTCTTTTCCGTCGCGCGCTGCAGTGCGTGTTTCCCATTGCGTCGCGATCCCGCGTCTTCTGACGCCCTCCCCCCCCCCCCCCGCCCGCACCGCCAGGCGCGCAACGAGCGAGCGACCGCGATCGCGAACCGCCGCATCCGCACGGACAAGGCGATCGAGCACATCAAGACGCTGAAGGGCGACCCGGACATCCTGTACAAGCACACGGCGAACTACGCCGCGCGATTAGCGACCGCGCCCGCGAACTCGCTCGTGGTGTACCTCGCGGACCTGGAAGAGCCCGTGAAGGAGGAGGTGGTGAAACTTCCGAAGAAGAAGAAGGCGGAGGGCGAGGAGGGCGAAGAGGAGGAGGAGGAAGAGGAAGAGGAGGAAGAAGGACCCGACTCGGACTTAGAAGAGGAGGAGGAGGGGGAGGCGTCGGGAGACGCGCCCGCGGAGGGCGCCGCGGAGGGCGCCGCGGAGGACTACGGCGGCGCGTCGATGAAGGACGGCGAGTTCGACTACTCGAAGATGTTTTACCGGTACGTCGCCGTCGCGGGCACGGGGAAGCGCGGCGCGCACGACTGGATGCTCGGCAAGACGCTCGAGCGCCCGAAAGGCGAGGTGGACGAGAACGGCGAGCCGGTCCCGCCCGCGGACGGCGAAACGCCCGCGCCCGCGCCGTTATCTTTCTCCCTCGTCGACGCCGACGAAGACGGCCACCGCGCGCCGTGGATCGACGTGAAAAACGTGATGCACCCGTCGCTCGACCCGACCAAGCCGGTGACGTTCCTGAACGGCATCCCGCGCGTGGGCGCGTACTTCGCGACGCCGATCACGCTCGCGACCGGGGAGATCGCCGGGATGCTGTGCGCGGACACGCTGAAGACGCCGAGCGGCGGGAGCGGCCTGCCCGTCTCCGAGGAGGACAAAGATTTGATTCGCGAGATCGCAGACGCCGCGGCGGAGGCGCTGAGAGACGCCGCGGAGGCGCGAGCGGAGAAGGTCGCGGAGGCGGCGGCGGCGCAGGCGGCGCTCAAGGCGAAGCTCGCGGCCGCCGCGGAGGAGGACGATAGCGACGATTCCGAGGACGAGGGCGAGGGCGCGGAGGAGGAGGGCGAGGGCGCAGCTGAGGCGCCCGCGGAGCCCCCCGCGGAGCCCCCCGCGGAGGGCGAAGACGCGGGCGAAGATGCCGGCGCCGACCCGGCGGCGGCGGCGAGGGCGGCGATGAAGGCGGCGATCGCCGCGATCAAGGCGGCGAAGAAGGTCCTGAAGCAGAAGAAGAAGCTCTTCCGCTGCGTCAAGGAGCTCCTCGCGGAGATCGACGACGAGACGCTCGCGGAGATTCGGAGCTACCCGCGCGCGCCGCCGCTAGCGTACATGGTCGTCAAGGCGTGCCTGTACACGTGCGGGCACAAAAAATTCGAGTTTGAGTCGTGGGCGCTGACGCGTAAACTCCTCGGCGAGGACTTCCTCGACGAGCTCCGGCGCTTAGACCCGACCGCGCCGAGGAAGGAGAAGGCTTACGCGGGCGCGACGGCGTGCATGAAAGGCTTGAAGCTAAAGGAGGTGATGCGCGAGAGCAAAGCCGGCAGCTTGCTCTTCACGTGGGTGCGAAATTTCATGCTCGCGCAGGACGCAGCGCATGAGGTCGCCGTCGCGAAGCAGTCGCTGGCGGATCTGGAGGCTGCGGAGGAGGCGAGAGCGATCGCGGCGGCGGAGGCTGCGGAGGCTGCCGCCGCGGAGGCTGCCGCGGCCGCGGCGGCGGAGGCGGAGGCGGCGGCGGCCGCGGAGGGCGGCGAGGAGGGCGGGGAGGCGCCCGCCGCGGAGTAGACTGGCTGGAGAAACTTTTTATCCGTTGACCGTTGGGACGTTTTCTTCTTCTTCGCTTTTCTCGTCGTCGCCCCCCGCGCGGATCTCGTCTCGCGCGTCATTCGCCCGCCCGCCGCGCCCCCCCCAACCCGCGCGCGGTCACTCCTTCGGCGCGCGTCATGTCGAAAGTGGCGATGCCGATGGTGCGCGACGGCGGCGTCGAGTCCAAGGACGCGGACGAGCTCAAGCCGTCGCCCGAGCTCGTGACGTACTACCGCGAAAAAGTCGCGCAGTTCGAGAAGGAGCGCGAGGAGCTCATCGCTCGCATCGACGCCGTCGGCGTCCGACGCGCGGAGCTTCACCAGAGCGAGTGGGAGCTGAAGAAGCGCACGATGGAAGTCAGCGAGCTCCAGAAGGCGCTGTCCGACGCGCACGCGTACCTTTTCGAGGAGCGCGACCGCCTCATGACGATGCAAGCGGAGAACGACGACCTGAAGCTGAAAGAGGTGGAAGACAGGAAGCGCATCGAGAACCTCCTCAAGGCGATGGACCCGACCAAGTCGGACATCACGCTGTCGCGCGACCCGCCGCCGGTGCCGCCGCAGGCGATGTCCGGCCCGCTCAAGGGCGTCAGGGAAGGTAGCAAAGACAGCGAGTTCAGGATGCGCGACCTGAAGAAGAAGTTCGTGCTCCCGTCCAAGAAGAACAAGGGCGGAGGAAAGACGGTGTACATGCCGGGCGACGAGGACGGCGAGTCCTCCAAACTGAAGATTCAGCAGCTCGAGACGATGATCGTGGAGCAGCGCAAGTTCGCGAACGAGCGCATCGCGACGCTGCTCGAGGACAGACGCATCCGAGACGCGGACGAGGCGCTCATTCGCGAGGCGGCGGATAAAAAAGTCGTCGAGCTCGAGGACCGCCTGAAACGCACGGAGGAGCTCCTGCAGCAGAGCACGAAGGATTACATCCTCCTTCGCACGACGCCGTACATCCTCCACGAGCAGCAGCAGCTGTTGAACGCGGAGTTGGAGTCTCTCTCGGGCGAGCGCGAGTCGTTGGACGGGAAGGTGAGGCACGCGAGGAAAGACGCGAAAAAACGCGCCGAGGCGGAGGTGGAGTCCTACATCGCCAACCTGCGCGACCAGCTCCAACGCAGATCCGCGACGGCGACGCAGTACGAGCGGCGCATATCCGAGCTCGAGTCGCAGAACGCCAACTACAAGAAGAAGCACCGGGAGATCGAGACGCGGCGCGCGATGGATCTCGAGGGGTTCACCGCGGACGTCACGACGCTGCGTCGGCTGCTCGCCGCGGTGGATCGAAAATTGCACCAGACGCGTCTGACGCAACGGCTCGACGACGACGAGAGGCTGGACATGCTCATGGAGCAGCTCGAGAAGCGCGCGCCGGACCCCGCGCCCGCGCCCGGCGGCGCGCACGGAGGCGTCGAGTTCCGCGCAAAGGACGGTCCGGGGATGGCGGCGCCGCTGGACGCGAAGGGCGTCGCGTTCGACGTTCAACACATTCGCAAGGCGCTGTCGGCGGTGGAGGAGCGGCTGTCGGACGCGCGCGTGAGCGCCGCCGCGGTCGCGGGGCAGACCGCGCAGGAGATCCACGACGCGGGGAAGCTCGCGGCGCACAACGCGGCCGCGAGCGCGCGCGCGGCCGGGGACGCGTTGGACCAGACGAGGGATTACTACTCCAACGCGGTGAAGGCGATGCCGAGGGGAGGGGCGGAGAACGTCGCCTTCGGCGGCGGCGCCGGGGCCAAGTCCAAGGCGAAGCCGTTAGGGATCCACAACCGCGCGTTTCGATGATGCGACGCGACGCGGGCGACGAAGACGCGCGATAGCATTGTAGTGGTTGTGTATTATACACGCGCGTCTTCTATGATTGATACGTATCTTCTAAAGAGACCGCCGTCCGTTCCGCTTCCGTTCCGAGACGATTAGCTTAACCTTACTTCTTCGAGCGCGCGCGCGTCGCTCGTTTTGGTTGCGTCGCCGGCTCCTCCTCCACCGGCGCCAGCGCCGCTTTCCGTTTCGTCGCCGCGCGCTTCTTCGGCTTCGCGGGCGCCGCCTCCGGCGCCGCCGCGGCCTCCGAGTCCGATTCGCTCTCCGCGCGCCTCTGCCCGCGCGTCTTCCTGGGAGATATCGCGGACAGTCCGAGCGCCGCGGCGGCATCCGCGCTCTTCGCCGGCGGCGGCTTCTCCTTCGCGCCCCCCTTCCCTCGTTTCACCGTCGCGACCTCATCGGGGGCGTCGTCTGAGTCGGATTCGACGTCGCCGTCGCCGTCTTCCTCTGCGGACAGGTCGTCGTCGTCGTCGTCGTCGCCATCGCCGCCGCCCGCGGCGAATCTGTCGGGGACCGCGCCGCCGCCGCCGCCGCCGTCGTCGTCGTCGTCGTCTTCGCTGAAGTGCCCGAGGTCGAAGTCGTCCTCGTCGTCCCCGCCCCTCGTCCTCAACGCCGGAAGCGCCGCCGCCTGCTTCGCGGGCGCGCCCAGCGCGCCGACCATCGGGACGCTGTCGTCCCTTCCGCTGTCCCAGTTCCTCGCCATCTCCGCGAGCAAACGCCTCGGCGGCGCGCTCGGCGCCGGCGCCGACTTCTCCTCGTCGTCGAGCAACACGCCCATGCCCGCGAGCGCGACGTCCAAAAGGTACGTCCCTCGAACGAGCCTCCCCGCGCGCGCGAAGTGTCGCGTCGTGTACGCCTTCAGCGACGCGACGTGGTCCTTGACGCCCTTCACGCCCGACAGCTCGCGCAGCGAGCGATGCCGCAGCAGCGCCGCGAGGCACCGCTGCGCGGGGTCGCAAAACCGCGCGTTGGAATTCCACGCCTTGATCGCGCACACGAACCGAAGCAACGCGACGCCCTTCACCGTCGCCGCGAGCGATTCCAACTGCGCGCACCCGATCGCACCGTTCGCGATCATCGCCTTCACCGCGACGAGAAGCGCGTGCGGGTGGTTCAGCTTGAGCGCTAAGCGCGCAGCCTTGTCGTGCTGCCCGGACGCCGCCGCGTTGGACAGCTCCTGCGTCGCGCCCGCCCTCGACGCGTTCGCCGCCGCCTCCTCCGCCGCCGCCTCCGCGGTGGCGTCGTTCCACAGCGTCAGCTTCGCGTCCGCGCCGCCGGTCGCGAGGACGTCGCCGTCGTCGTCGACCGCGAGCGCCCACGCTTTATCCTCGTGCGCGTCCAACGTCGCGATCGCCGCGCCGGTTCGCACGCCCCAGAGGAGGAGCAACCCGTCGCCGCCGGTGGAGACGATTTGCGTCCCGCCGGAGACGAACTTCAACGCCAACGCCGCCGCGGTGTGCCCTTCGAGCGTGCGCAAACACGCGCCGCTGCCGCTCTTGTACGTGTTCGGGTCGCACGACCATATCTTGATCGTCTTGTCCCCTCCCGCGGTCGCGACGACGCGGTCCGCGGGCGAGAACGCCACCGCCCACACGCCGCGTTTGTGCCCTCGCAGGACGCCGCACGGGATCAGGTCCGGCAGGCGCCACAGCCGCGCGGTCCTGTCGCCCGAACACGTCGCGCCGAGGGTCAAGTTGGGCGCGATCGCGCAGCAGTTCACCGCCTTGTCGTGCGCGATCGCCGCGGACTTCGCGAGGAACGGAACGGGTCGGAGGGGCGACTCCTCGAGATCGTCGTCGTCGTCGTCATCGCCGGCGGCGGCGGCGGCGGCGGCGCGATGCGAGTGCAACGCGCCGCGGACGTCCCACACGCGCGCGACTTTATCCGCGCCGCCGCTCATCGCGATCGGCGTGCCGTTCTTGTGCCCGAACGCGACGGCGGCGACCGCGCCGACGTGGCCTTCTCCGATCGCGATGCATCGCGCGCCGGACGTCGACGCCGCGCCGTGCCCCGTCGCGTCGCCGGACGCCACCGCCGCCGCCGCCGTCGTCACGTCCCAAAGTCTGAGGGCCATTCCATACAAAGCGATGTCGGGGTGGAGTTCATAGGCGTCAGCTAGAGTTGAAAGGCGTCGAGGTCGGGGATTGAAAGCGAGGTGTGGGCGGCGAGAGACGACGGCAGAAGTCCTTAAGGATCGGCGTTCACCACGCCGACGCGGTCGTATGGGGACCAGTGTATAGAACGCACCTGACGGTGTGATCTCTCGAGCCGGTGATCACGAGGCATTCGCCGTTCGGGCCGACGCTCGCGTCGAGGGACAGAATCGCGCCCGCGTGCCCGGGAAGCGCGGCCGTACACGCCATCGTTGACGGGTCGAACACGCGAAGGAGAGCGCTGTTCGTCGCCACCGCGAGCGCTCTCGGTCTCTTCTTCGTCTTCGCGGCGCGTTTTCGTCTCTTCTCGTCGCCGTCTTGGCCGACATCCGCCTCCTCCTCCTCCTCCTCCTCATCCTCATCGCCGCTCCCCGGAAGGAACGCCGCAGCGATGATCTCGTCCGTGTTCCCTATCAGCTCCCTCCTCACGACGATAGACCCCGCGCCGCCGCCCGCGTCGTCCAGCGCGTCGTCCGGCCCGTAGAACAACAGCCTGTGGTCGCCCGTCACGGCGAGCACGCCGTCTCCGTTTGCGTTGAGCTGCAGCGACGTGAACG